TCAAATTGCACAACAATCATTCGCGGTTCCATCGCCACCTCAGCTTTCGTTTTCCAGAAAGCGTTCAACAAAAGTTTCGTTGAGAATATCATCACTGTTGTTTCGTTGTTTGTCATCGATCGAATGATCGCCATTCAAAAATGATCCTCATTTTGCAAACATCAGCAGCAATCGAGTATTATGCAAAATTTGAAGCACTGCGTATGGCAACCGAGGAAATTCTTCCACGTATACGCACATGCATCGGTGATTTCAACCTTTCGTAGGCCTAATTGTAAGCCCCTAAATCCGCGCCTAATTCGAGCGGATTCGGCTAAATTTCACCTATATGCGGGCGGCTGTACATCCTCAAAAGTTTCATAGCTTACTATTTTGAATCGTGATATAGTCTGTTTCCATCATGATTTGTTACACTAATTCGTCACATCGTTTTCCGTTCATATACCCGATCCGCAGTTGCCCCAAAATCAGTCTCTTGGGTCTCATTTTAGAAACGTCTCCCCTCCGTTTGATGGATATTATGAGCGCGATATATGTAACGAAACAATTGTAACGGAAGCAAACAAACGAACGAAGCGAAACAGTGTTCTCTTTCGGACTTCGAAAATTCTTAAGCAATTTTAAAACTTTTATTCTGTATAGGAAAGGAAGCCGAACACGTAAAATGGCTGATTTAATTTAAAAGATGAATTTACTCATAACAAATTTCGATTACATTGGATATTGTTACACAACACAAATGAAACAACCATCCTCCTGTCATCATACCACGCAATATTCAATATTTCGTTATATTCTCTCATTTTTGCAGTCATTTCTTCGAATGTCTACATAGTTTGTGACTGAAATGAAATGACGACGATGAGAATTTCCGATGAACAATGTTCTATAATATTTCAGTAAGTTTCATGTAGTTTTTTCATAGGCTTTCACGTAGAATTTCTTTTCGCATGCACAATTCCTTCTTCCATATTTGCTCATCAATAGCAACTTTTGTGTGAATGTGCTCTGAAAGTGTAGTTTGGTGTTTATAGTTATTTGATTATAATAGTTTTTGATGAATATTAGATGTGGTTGAGTTGAGTAGAAGTAGTGATAAGGGTTGTGATAGACATTTGGTGAGTGTTGCCGTGAGAGTGAAGCTGAAGAATGTTACGTAATGCGCGCTGTAAGGTGGAATCAAGCACGTGATAACGATCTGGTTGTAATGCATAAACAGCAGCAGAAACGTTTATCGACACAATCACCGTACACCTAAATCATTCGTTTGCTTCGAATTTCATAAGCAATTTCTTATTATTCTTTCATTGTTTTTCTTATCATCATCATCATCATCATCATTCCATCCTTTCAATATGACACTTCTTGCAAATGACGAATGATTCCGTATTCTCGCGGACGGCATTGTTTTTAGTAAACGAATGCGTAAAGTATCGATAGTATTCACTGAAGGTGACGGTGATCGGTGTTGATTTTTGACGACGGTAGGTACGATTTTTTTGTATTGTCGTATTGAAAGGAAAAATTAGCAATATGAAATGAATGAATGAATGATTGAATGAAGTATTATTCATGAATGCGTGCAGATTCATAATAGAAGCTATGTATCTTTGTATGTGAATATGAATGAACGTTTCATATAAATTCATTATTCGATACGAAAAGATTTCATTTATTTTATGTTTTGTATTTTGCATCGAAAAACACCACCACCACCACCACCTTTAGTGATATGTATGTATGCATTTGTATATGATCACATTCGTGTTGTATAGCACAGAGTCATTGTGGCGTTTTGATATCATTGTTATTGATAGTTGATATTATGACATAGCGCGCTCCTCCTCACTCACGCGCTCGCTCATTTATCTGATAGCATCTCATTTGATTTCATTTTCTTCTAAAATTTTGTTCAGTCACAACTCTAACTAATAAGCACGTCGTATTGAGGACGAAAATTTGAACGATGTGATTACATACGAGTTAACGAATTAGATACTTATATTGTAAGGTTCGACTATTATAATTTTTATTTATCGTTGAAGGTTCGTTCTGTTTACAGTTTAGAAATATAGGTATGTAAGCATAAGTGACCATATCCTTTACTTAAATTTACGCATCATTCCAGTTGAATCATTTGGGATTAGACGTGACTGTCAGTCAAATTTCTGGATGAGCAAAACTGGACAGGTATCGCCACAGCTGATGCATTAGACCCTCTTAATGGTTTATGATCAAGGACGGACCTTCGGCGGTGAGGATTTTAAAAATTTGAATGTTACGATTATCTTACGATTAGATTAGTGTGTGTTCATGGTCGCGCATACGCCGTCAGTTTGCTGAATTAGAATAATTCATTATTCGTAACTTTTAGTATTATTGAAGTCAGAATCAAATCAGATCAAGCCAGAGCATGACGTCGTCTCATGAACCGATACACAGCGGTCATTTTATGACATCAAATCCGCACAATGACGAGTTGGCACCCGACGAAGAAGATGAGGATGTTGAGGTTTGTTCTATGGTTACTTGATTTTTTCGGTTTTATTATGTTCGAATGATCCCATAAGGTGATTTTCATTTTATCAAATACCTCTTGCCACCGTCGTCTCGAACACTCACAAACGATATCGGAATTATTCAAGCATAGGGTTGTTCCGTTCGTGATTCATTTGTTTCGGTTATCTATGGATGTGACGCAAGATATTAAACAACGCGATACCATAAGCTCTCAACTCTGCTACCATAATGGTGAAAATTTGCATGCCAAACTTTAGTATAGTGTAACTGAATAACTGACGATGAGTATAACCGAAAGTATAAGTGAGGTTTAACTGAAAAGTTCGATTTTGAAGTGTGATCCGATCATTTTGGAGTCTTTCTTTCGAAATCCATAAAATTCTCCTCGTTCGAACGTGGCTAAAGTTTATCAACAGTTCATTAAAGAAATTCAGAACCTTGTAGAAATTCTGAATCTTCAACGGTATTTCAATGGTGAAAGAACTGTTGATCTTAATTCCATAGAAGCGCAAATACTGTTTG